TTTCAAAAGATAAACTTTTTCATGAAATTATATGCTTAGCACTCAAGCATTTTGTACTCTTATCAGCAAATAAGTTTTAATAAAACTTATAAAAATTTCTTTAAGTGTCATTTTGCCAACAAATTTTGAAAACAGGATTTTTATAAAATTACATGACACTTCATAGGCAATAATTTAGAAATACATGGTGACATATTTCCCGCTCATCCCCACAAGTACGGATGCACATTTACAAATAATACAATGTATCAACTTAAGTCATGCTTTTAAAGAGGATCCCTCAAGAAGAGTAAGTCTTAATCAACTTACCTCAAATTTCAAGTTCCAAAAATACTTCAATGCTCCAATTGATTAAAATGTCCAAATATCGCCCACAATTAAATATCTACCATTAGATATCCCAACTACATCAAAACAAATACGAAAAGATTCATAAATATCCATTTATGATTCACAATTCGGCAACAAGCCTTCAACCATCCCTAATTATCCAATAGGCTCACCCGTTAGCCTATTCAATTCCATTCTTATGATTTAATACTCATTTGGATGCATTAATAATACTACGTTAATTACCCAACATCATCAAGTCACTATTCATCGTCTTCTCCAACAAAAGCCTAGGTTCAAAAACATCCATTTCAAGAACTAGTATTGTATCTTATCCAAATGGTGATTTCCAATTCAATTCGTTCATCAATTAAGTTATCAAGTCTATTGGAATCATTAGAAACTCAAAACAATTTCATTTATATCAATTCATCACTACACATCTTCTTCTTTATCCAAAATGACATTCTCAAGACCCACCCTTAGGGTTCATACAATATCCCATTACAACTTCAAATAAAACTCATAAACATGCTACCCGTACTCCAATATGACATATATATGAAGCTCAAGTGAATGGATTACCTCTTGGTGGAAGAATCTCACTTTTCCTCTTTTTGGTGTTCTTGAAGATTCAACCCATTTCCTATGAATTTGATCCATAACAATGTTAGTGTTATCACTAAATAATATTATAAAATCATCCTTGTACCAAAATAACTTACCTTGAAGTGTATCCATGGTGGAAGAGCTCCTCCTTCTCTATAGAAATCCATTCCAAGTTGAAGAACTAACTATTTCTCTCTCTAAACCCCTTATTTCTACACTTTAAAAATGGGCTTGATGGGTGCGTAGCCCCCCTGCGTAGGCTACGCACAAAAGCTACACAGGGTGGCATTCCATTCCTCTTCAATTGGCAGCTGCTGGATTTGCCTACGCACGGTGTGTAGGCTACGCTACTATGCTGCGTAGGCTACGCAAGACTCGCATAGCTGTTCTGCTACTCTTTAGTAAAAAAGTCATAACTTCTTGTAAAAATCTCCAAATGATGAACGGTTTCAAGTATTAGAAACTATACACATGTACCTTTCATTTTATAGGTCATACACCATATAACTCTTCATATATTGAGAGTTATACTTGTTTGAAGTTAGGTCATGTGCGAACTCACTTGAAATTTAACCCCATCATATAATTTCTAACTTGACTTAGCCTTGGGGCTCTTCTTAGACCATAAACCATTCTTAATGCACCTCATACATATATTATTATGATCAATTGATATCCTTCATATTATTAGTCTTGTTCATACCCGAATTATGATAATCAGCACCCGTCAATCTTCTTAATGGTCTTAAAACACTTCGAAATTTTCTGGGTATTACATAAACATTGAAACCAATTACACTTGGTTCATGTTTGATTTGATTTGATTTAAATCAATTTAGTTAATTTAGATTTTATTAACCCAAACAACGATCTATCTCCGTTCAAATTGTTAATGAAATCGTAATTATTTGCTTCCAAAATCATTTAATTATTTATTTATTTATTTATTTATTTATTTTATGAAAGAGTAAAATCTTATTGGAACACACACATATCTACGATCTATCTACAATATATTAAAAACATAAAGTCCTTAACTTAAAAATTAAATTACTTAAATTCCCTCCTAATTTATCCTAATACCCTATTTAATTTAGTTACACCCTCTTTAATTAAAAAGAACTACAAATAGGTGCTTCATTCAGACGCCTATTTTGAGATAAAGTGGCGCTTCATATTCTTCTTAAAAAGTTACAACCATTAAAAAAAATCTAATGGCTACTATCAACTAAGCCATGGCTACACTCACTTAAAATTAACTGCCAAGTTGGTGTCAGTTCCATCAAATTTTTTATTTTTTTAATTTTGCTTTCCCCTCTTGTTTATGTGTTATATCTAGATTCAATTTCCTGCTTCTTATTTTTGTCTGAAATTTATGAATGAATTGATAACTCTTGGCATCCTTACCTTATCTATCACCCAGAGATGTTGCGGCCCAATAACCAATTAACCAATTCGTTTCATTGCGAGGCGCAAGTACGAAAGAGAATGTGCTTTTGCAAAAAGTTTTGCAAGAGTAGCGTTTGAGCCACTACCGGCACATGCTTAATTTTGGTTTATTCCCATATAAATGAGATATATTCAGTTGACTTGTTTATTAGCTTAATAATATTATTTCTTTTGAAAATGAAAAGATATTTTTCCCGGCGTACATGAGTTATGATCTATACACAGAGCTTGCTTGTGTAGTATGACTTCAACCTATCACATAATTGTTTTACAATTTTTGAGTTTTAGTTTTCACCTTGCAAGCCGTTTTAATAATAATTTTTTCTCTCTTGAACTTATATATGCATAAACAGGGTTACGTTTATTATATGAGTATTTAAGTTTCACTTGATTTCTTACACTTGGTTGTGAATTGTGAAGTGTATAATTGAATATATATGCTGTTGCGATTTGAATTTTAAAAAAAAAGAAGAGAAAAAGGTTTCGGTGATTTATAGTGTTTAACTATCTTAAATATGAAATCCAACGTAGTAAGAGGCATAAATTCCTCCTAATTAGTATTAATATAGTTTCTTATGTATATTATGAATTTTGGACATATATGCAGATTCTCCACAGAATATTAACAGACTGCATAAATTTCAGATTATGTTCCAAATTAGTACATATGAACTTAAAAAATATAACCGAGCAATAACTGAATAGACAAAAAATATTAAAACATTTACACTTAGGTAGAATATTGTAAATATTGAAAATTTACAGTTAGGTAGTTGAAAGGACCATTTAGTGTGAATATTTCTTCTAAGATGTAATGTAATGACTAGCACTGTTTAGTACTGTAATTGAAGGGACTTTTGGTGCTACCCTGGTTGCTCTCATGTTGCAAGTTAATGTCATTTGGGTGATGCACTCATTGATACACTTGAAGTCCACACTTTATGAAGTTACAAAAGATTAAAAATCAAGACTGTGAGGGAAAAATAAGAGGTAACTGATTTAGCAAGCATGAAGATATAAGTTTTTATGATTTCATACTAATATTCTGCTTGGCCAAACTTTTTCAAAGTCAAAAGTATTTTTTTTTCAAAGTTATAGTGTTTGGGTAAGCTTTTAGAAGAAAAAACAAATATTTGAGTAGAAGCAAAAATAGTTTTTGAGAAGCAGAAAAAATAATTTTTCTCCTAAATCACTTTTTAAAAAAGAACTTTTAAGAAAAAATACACTTAGAAACACTTTTTAAAAGCTTGACCAAACACTAATTGCGGCTGGAAAATACTTTTCAAATTAATTAACGAAACACAAATTGCTTATCACCGAAAATATTTTTTTGAAAAGCATTTCTCAAAATAAACCGATTTTAGAAATTCAGACAAACTATAAGTAGTTTATCGTGAATGTAATAAACCAACATCCATACATGATTGTGGTCATTGATCAGTACATAATCGATATGAATCTATCATGATAAGTGAAAAGAGATCAAATAGGTAACCTTGCAAATGCAGTAGCTCCTAGACAAAGTGTTTTTCTGGATTAGTTCATATTTTGAAATGAGTCCAATTGACTAATTCTTTTAAAAAAATCATATCCTACTCGATAAATAACTTAAATGCGTCTTTTGTTTTTTTATTTATTTTCTGTTGTTGTTGTTCATCTTCATAACAATTGGTTCAATAACTTTTGTTCTTCGTTCGTCGATAATTGTATTTTGCAGCATAATCTTTCGTCAAAATGTAATTATGGTTAATTTCTTTTGGGTGAAGAATATATGCAAATCAACACAACTGGCGATATGGTACAACAATGCACAAACGGTTTGAAGTAGATCTTTTGGATTACTAAAATAATTGATTAGAACAAAAATCAAAAATCATGGACCGGGTTGAAAATAAAACTAATTACTAAATTTTAATTATTTCTTTACCAAATTATAAAAGTTTTAACAACAATTAAGACATAGAAGGCTAGAAGCTACAGCACTAACCAATGAGGACAAAAGAAAATAATTAAAAAGGGGGTTGAAAAAATAAAAGACGAAAAGAAGGGAAGAAGTGCTATTAAAATAGAACAAAATAATTCCGCTAATTAATTAATACTAGCAAGTTGGTTAGTGTGGTTGGCGGATAGATGAAAGCATAAATCCAATCCGCTCTCTCCCTTCTCCATCTTTAAAACGTAAGAAAACAAAAAGAGAAAAGAGAAAACAAGAAAACGGAGAGATAATATATAAAATTATAAAGGAAATAATAGATTGATGGAACGGTGTGCGAAATTGCACATGCTAAGGTGATCAAGTGGATAAAGTTCTTCAAAATCACAAGCTTCCCACTTAATTAATTTCAACTGTTTACTTGGTTAAGTTCCTACAATATATCCAACTGTCCCAGCTAATTCAGCCACTTTCTCTGTCATTTCTATTTTCCTTTTCCTTTACTGAAGCACCCACTAACTAAACCAACCAAAATGTATTATTTTTATATTAATACGTGGTTGTGTGCCAACCAAAAAGTCAAAGGCCAATTAGTTTTGTAGGCAATGAATGGTTACTGCAATTGAAAGTGGCTCTAATCTAGAAATCCTTATTGTAAATGTTAGGTGACTCTAAGTCTGAATCCAGAAAAAGAAAAGAGAGACATGTGAAGGCAAATCCTTGGGAGGAGGAGAGTAAAGTCCACTCCTACTTTCAACTATGAATATAAGGAAAAACAAATACACCAAGGTCAAATATGATACAAAGGGGCAATTGTTTTTCCCTTCAAACTACAAAGACCATATGATGTGGCTTTCTTTGGGGGAAAGGGTGTTGTCCACTACCTTCACATGAGATTAGATAGTTCTAGGTTGCCAGGTTTATTTGAATCTCCCCTCTGCCTCTGTCCTTACTCCAAACTCTGTTAAAAGTACTCTTGATTGTTGTCTTCTCCTTTTCTCTCTGACATTGTTTTTGTCAGTTACCCTTTTTAGTCCTTTTCCTCAGTTTTTTCATTTTCCAATGCATAGTCCAACTCCATTGTTTGATTAATCCATCCCTACTTCTACTGTGTTTGTTTGTGACTTTGTGTATTGTCCCCTCCCAATCTTTGCTCTTAAGTCTTCCAAGTTCCTATCATTTGCCATTTTCACAAAATTAATTTTGATCATAGGAGATTGTTCAAATGTTCAACACCCCATCTATAACATTTGTGGGTTAGAGTCACCAAATGAGCATTAGCTCCAAGGAAAAGGAATTAAAGGGAAATCAAAGGTGAGGGAATTTTAAAAAAATATTAAATTTTATTTAAGTTATAGTAAATATCTAAAATTAGTATAGTTGTGATAACAGCAACAGACAATTTCCTATTGCTGGCTTGTTATTTCAAATGCTTTCTTAATCCACCCAAATGATGTATATATTTTTTCTTTGTATAGTTGTCTTGTTCGCTGGTATTAGTACTCCAAATGCCGTCCTAAGTTGCCCATTGAACGGTTTTAAATCTGTAGTCACGAAAAAATAAAATGACGCAAAAGAACAAAATCGAATTGTTTATTAATATTTCATTGCTTTAAAACATGATTGTAAGTGTACTTAATCGATCGTAGAGTCTAGTTATAGCTAGCTACTTTCTTTTCTTTTTGTCTTAATGTGCTACTTATTTTTTTTTGGTCTTAATATGGAACATTTCATCTGTCTATAACCTAACTTGCGAATAATCATGCTTGTGCTCTTACATTTAATTTTTAGCAATTGTAGTATTATGTAATGAGTGTATCAAATAGTAATTTGGAATCATTGGATTTGAAAAGAGGTTATACACGAATACACCCAAAAATAAAGCGAATAATCAGTATGAGATGGAAAGATTAATTTCCATTTTCCTAACATTATACAAAAACAATTGTGTAAATATTTAATAACCGGTAGACTAGTATATATTTTTATCAAGTTGTAGGAAATTGAAATTACATGTTTAGAACACTCATCTTGGTTCAATAGAAAATCCAGAACATGGGGTTGCTCTTACAAATGTCGCACATTACATATTTCCCTAATTAGATTCCCTATTTTTTTAAGAAGAAAACTATAAAAAGATATGCTAATTCGAGGAATTTTCTCTGTGCTGTGAGTTGTCATGATGGTGATGCGTTGTAGGCTATTGGTTTCGCTTTCTCTTTACGAGTTCTGAGTCTTCCTTTTCTTCATTCGTCCGTTCCATGCAAAGCTCATCTTCCATTTAACCTTTTTCTCTCTCTCAAAATTTTATTCTTTTCATCTTTTGGATTCATCCTTATTGTCTGAATTCCTTACGAAATTTTGACTCCCCTTTTCTCTTTGCTCCAACACAACTCAAAGGTGAGATTTTTGTATTAATTAAACCTTCTTCTTCCTTACTCATCCCCACCCCACCCCCACAAACCCCACTAGGGGTAGTCCCTATTACCTCACTTTTCTTGTTTTGTTGGGATTGCATGCATCATGTTTTTGAACTTTTTTGGGTTTCTGGGCTCTTCTTCTTCTTCTTAACTTTTTTTTTCCATTTTTGGATTTAATGGATGTTTGACTTTCATGGTTGTTTTCTCTGTGGAGTTCGAATATAGCAGAAAAGAAAGGATTTATAACATATTTTTTAGATCAATTCCCTCTTTGATTTGGTTTTCTGGATTTTCGGAATCTGAATTATATCTGGATTGAGAGTATTCTGTTTCCAGAACTGATATCTATTCTGTTTTTTGTAGAAAAGAAATGATTTTTGTTACACAGAGAAGTAATGATATTTCTTTTCTCTATTGATATGTAGAGATCAATTCCCCCTTTAATGGGTTTTCTTTCTGGACTTTCAGAAATTGATTCTGTATTGGTCGATCGAGAGGGTTCTGCTTTCAGAATTTGAGGTAAGTCATAGATTCTTCTCTATTTTAGAAGTAGTTTTCACATGCAGTAGAAAAATATTTTGATTTCCTTTTCTTTTCTCTTGTCTTTTTGTTATCTACTCAGAAAAGAGAGTAACCATTCTCTAACTGGAGCTGAGGTCTGAACTATTTTGGGGTTTTGTTGTTTGGTTCATTGAATATTATTGGGATGTGATAATATTTGGGATGATTTATATCTGAACTATTTGGATTGAATCTCAAATGGACTTACCGAATTGTAAGCATTTGACATTCTTTGGAGTCCATATGAATTCCTTGGCTGGAAAATGTGTGGGGTTAGTTGTCATTGCTTTGTTCGTGGGAACTGTTCTGCTTCCAACATTCTCTGGACTTGGTGGGGTCATTCAACAGAACAATGTTTTCCTTATCCACAACCGATCATTTCCATCAAATCAAGCCATAAAACAGAAATTTCTGGAAGTTCCTCAGATTGTTTGGGGATTGAACAATCAGAAGATTGCCTTTGCTAGAGCTTGTTTGACCGCACGAATGCTCAATCGAACACTGCTAATGCCTAAATTGAGTGCTTCGCTGTTTTATAAAGAAGTCGAACTTTTGAAGCCTATTTCCTTCGATAAGGTCTTCCAATTTGAAAGATTTAATTCCCTTTGTGAAGGGTTTGTCCAATTGAGTCGTTATTCATATGTTTCAAATCAAAGTGATGTTATCGAACTTCAGAAAGGCAGCGGAAGAAGGTGGACGTTGGAAAAAGATTTGGAGCAGTTGACTCAATTTAGTAAGCATCCTCATGATGCACGTGAGATTGTTCGGATAGTAGGGAAGAATCCATTTTTGTGGCATGATCATTGGCCGGCTAAAGACTATGCAAAGGTTTTTGAATGCTTAGCTTTAGTAGAGGAGATATCGACACAAGCAGATAGAGTTATCTCCAAGATTAGAGAAATAGGAATGGAGGTGAGAAGTAAGGTTCCAATGTCAGGCTCTTCATCAGAACCAGTTCCGTATGTAGCTGTGCACATGAGAATAGAAAAGGATTGGATGATACACTGTAAGAAGCTGGAGCAAAGATTAAACATTAGTGAAATATGTAGTTGTAAGGAGGAGATTATGGCCAGAGTGGGAAACATCCCGGGCCTTAAAACCCCTGTAGTTGTTTATCTTGCTGTCGCCGATGCTCTTCTTGAAGATGATACTGTCTTGAATGGTTGGAAGGACGGATTGCTTCCTTTCGAGAAGAAAAAACTGGGTGTTTTTGAAATTTACAAGAAGCAGCCATACCTATTTCAATCTGCTATCGACTATGAAGTTTGCTTAAGATCTGATGTCTTTGTAGGGAACAGTTTTTCAACATTTTCTAGCCTTGTTGTTCTTGACAGAACCCAGAAGATGATTGACATGGGCGATACAAAGTTGTGTGGTCCGGATGTTAGGTGGCCGTCTTTTGCATATAATATAAGAGGAATGGGGGATAGCCCTCATCCATGGGTAACAAATATGTCTGACACTAGCTTGACGGCAATTAGCTATGGTTCCAATCACATTGCTTGCTGAGATGACTTTCAAGGCTTGAATTACATATTGTTTGTCAGCCTTGGATGCATGGATAAGGATGCAGATGATTGGCCGATGTTGTGATCTTCAAGTTTTTTTGGTTAAGGAGATAAGTTATACAAATTCTTAAGGCTTTGTGGGGATTCTGAAGAGTAGGTATACTTTGCATTTCTGTAATTACATATCTCAGATTTTGCATTCATTTTTGTTGATATGTTACAGCAACATGTTAATAGAGCTTAAACTTTTGCTGGTAGTTTTGTATGATATACTCTCTGTCAACACTATAGTAATATTTGATGTCCTCCATGAGATAGTGAGAAATTGAAGGCCAAATGTACTGTCTTTTCAGTACTTTATCACCATATGATAACTAAATGAAACACAAAGTACATTGTGTATGTAGACCACAGAGATAAGGAATAAGGAATTTGGTGTTTTAGGCCTTGGTGCTTCACTATTTGCTTGAGCCTTACATTTTATGCCACAACTGGTCATTGGTTTCCTTGCACTAGGCTATCCAATAATTTGTGTAGAACAATGATTGGTATTTGTTCAGTTTCAACTGTTTTATAATGAGATTTGCAGGTACTTCCAACATATTCAGTACCAGTTCTTTAGAGGATTCTGTTATTCTTCTTTCATGCTTTTTATTTAGGAATCAGAATTCTGTATCTTGTATCTTTCAAATACTAGTGTATGTTTACTTAGTGGATTTTGTAACATATGAGAGGAATTTGACCTTTATGGTCATTTGAAACAGGCTAGTTTACATGGTTGTGAAGTTAGATTCCTATACTTATCTGCATATGGGAGTTGAGGACTATGTTTTTTTTTCATTTTTGTACTTGACATTTAGGTGACAAATATTTTCATGTGCATAACATGGGGCATCAATAAAACACCATGTGTCGTGTTGTAAGATGATTTGTAGCATGTTTGGCCAAGTTGTCACCAAAAGTACTTTTAGAAAAAAACACTTTTAAGAAAAAGCACTTCTGAGTAGCAATTAGTGTTTGGTCAAGTTTTAAAAACTGCTTGTAAGTGTATTTTTCTCAAAAGTGTTTTTCAAAAAAGTGCTTTCGGAGAGTTGTTATTTTTTTCTGCTTCTCCAAAACTGCTTCTGCTTCTACTCAAAAACACTTTTTTCCTCTAAAAACTTGGCCAAACACTACTTTGGAAAAAAAGCCTTTTGGCTTGGAGAAACTTGGCCAAACAAGGTATTGATACGTGGAATGGTACTTTTAGAGCATGACCACATTTTTGGTGAATCAGTGCATCATTGGTTTCTCAAATAATTGATCTGTTCATTGACAAGGTTGTTTAGCTATGCAGTATTAATTTGGCATAAAAGCTGGTGTTTTCCTATTATTTATCTTTTCGATTTTGAACTACATTAATTTAGATGGAGGGCCGGCCCTTCCCTGAAGCGTCACATATTTGTGGGGGCTCATTTTTTGTAACACATGATAAGCTATATATAAGTTTTAAAAAAAGTTAAGTGAAATGAAAATGTTTGATTTCTTTCTTTAACATATATAAAGAATAAGGATTCGCAACTGCTATGATTTCTGTCAAGAAAATTGCATTTCAAATGAATATCGAACCAGAATTTTGTAAGAAACGTGTAATACATAGGAAGAAATAATTTGATAAGAACGTTGATAGTGAAATTTCAAAATCTTTTGAAAATGATAGTGAAATTTCAAAATCTCTCGGAAAGTCTTTTAAAGTTGATTACTTTTTATACATAGTAGACTAGGCTATTTTTTTTTACTTCAAAATAGATTTAAACAATCCGAAGCATATGAAAATATTTTTGACTTTCTATTTAGCGTTAAAAAACTGAGATAGCTAGATGATGGAAATTTAAAAAAATATTGCCTTAATCTTGAATGTTCCTTAGAGCATAATAATCAATTCGATATTGATGATTTAGATTTATTTTCTGAATTAAAAGTGTTAAGAAAAATAATACAATTAAAAGATAACAGTTTAATTGTTATACTCAATCAAATAAAAAGATTTTATTTTTCAAATGCCTTTATTGCTTATAGAATAATGTTAATAACCCATGTTACCGTTGCTTCAGTAAAAAGAAGTTTTTCAAAATTAAAATTGATAAAATCTTTCCTAAGATTAAATGGATTAGTTATATTGTTAATTGAGAAAGACTTATTAGGAGAAATTGATTATAAGAAAATTATTTATAACTTTGCATCTGAAAAATCTAGAAAAATAAACTTCAAATAAATCAATAAAAAAGCTAAGACACCTTATAAAGTTCGACTTTAGGCCACAAAATTCGTTGTACCGCCCTATGTTAATAGTATATTATTCAAGTGAGCCCAACTTTTAGCTCCAATTGCATCAATCTTATGTTTTTCACATCTTGTAACTAATTTATGTTGCGGAGTTTAGATTCTGTTGACTGCCGAATTTCTGGTTGCCATCTTTTGTTTAGGTACAGCATTTTGTTTCAAAAACCGGTATGCCATTTGAGAAAAGTTTTTTAGTTTTTGGAAAAGACTGAAAAGCACTTTCGAAATAGTTTCTCAACTTTTGCAAAGATCGAAGAGACTCTTCTATAATGGTGTTTGGTCGAAAATGTTTCGGATTTTTTTTTTTTTTAAATCTAACACTTTTTGAAAACAAATTCATTTGGTTCTTGCTTTTGTTCGAAACTAAAGTGATTTCGGTTATTCTCAGAATATAGTTGGAATAAAAAAGAGAGAAAGATAGTTCCATGTTCGAGGTGGTCCGGAACCAAAGCGTGGTATTTTTTTTGACTCAAACCACAAAAAAAAAGTAAAAAAACTAACTGATGACCAATTTATATATAACGCATGGGTTGAATGTGCACCTTAACGGCACATTTGTCCGTTAAGGTATAGCGCATGCAATACATGTGCTATATTTGAATTTTAAAATGACAGTCAAAATATAAATATAGCGCATATACCGAATGCGCTATACCTATGGGATGCGCTATACCTGTATAAAATATCTGACCAGTCTTCTTCCTCGCGACACAACAAAAAAA